TGGATTTTCTTTTGCGCATAGGGATCTTGTTGTCAATAAGTGACGTCTGTACCTGCGATACTCACTCACGATATAACCTCGGGGTGCTATGTGGCTTCCAATATCCTGACTTGGTTTGGGTAAGAACTTCTTCATCACTTGCAAGGGGTTTCAGCTCTCTAGCTCCGTGATTATAGTAACGCCTTTGAGTGGCCTGTTTTTGCTCCATTCTGTCTCCAGCAAGTTCAGGATGTACAACGTTTAGTCTGAGTTGGTTGCTCGTGGTGCTGCATTTTAATAAACTCAGGTATGGATCTCTTTTCTCCAACCTGGCCTTCTTCAGGAGCGGTTTTGCAGTGTGAACGGATGTGGGACTGCTTGTGACGTGGCTGAAATCCCAATCACTGGTGAACCGAGCAAATCCCTGTGCGGAAAATTGGGGGCCGTTGTCCGACACTACTTTTTCAGGGATGCCGTGTCTTTCAAAGGTGGCTTTCATCTGCCGAGCTAGTCGTGCTGGACATCCGTCCTTTCCAATTCTACTGTAGTGGTGGACTACAATCAGATAATGTTCATTGCCAAGTTCACACAAATTAGTTGCGACGTTTTGCCATGAACGATCATTGGTTCCTTGGAGTTGGACGTATGATGTTCAGTGCAGGCTGAACAATTTGAGACAACGACTGCTCGTGCGGGGCCAAAACATGACCTCCTTAGCTCGATTTTGTGACTTTACCATGCCCATGTGTCGGTCCTTTTCCATGTGTCGATTCTTTTCTGAGCGCCGAGGGAATGACTATTCTTCCTCCTTTGAACACTAAGCCTTCCACCACCGAAAGCTTTTCCCTGTAGTTCCAGAGGGGCTTTACTGACGATGGGCAAGTGCTTCTGTCGTTTGGCCATCCCTCTCTGATGACTGCAATTAACCGTTGCATGTCAGGGTCACATGCCGTAATAGCTTGTGGGTCTGACATCTTTTGATCGGAGACAGGTAGGCTCGCCAGAACCAGATGTACTTGAGCATCGAAAGCTCCATATCTGTAATCGGTTTCTCTAAGGTGCAGCCGTGAGAACGTGTCAGCTACCGGAATTTCTTTCCCCAGCTTGTGGCGAGCACATTTCTGAAGGAGTAGTATCACTCTTTGCAGTCGGGCTGGGGCTGCAGACAAAGGGTTTCTCAGAATTGCCTCTAGGGGCTTGTGATCTGTGGTTACTTCAACACGTCTGCCATAACTGTATTGATGGAAGCGCTCAGTGCCGAATACTATTGCATACATCTCCTTTCTTGTTTGTACATACTTCCTGTTCTGTGGGACTTAAGGACTTTGACGAGTCAACAACAGGTTTTTCTTCCTGCAAGAGCACAGCACCAAGACCGTGTTTCGATGCGTCCACTTATAGTGTGACCTCCTTGTCTACATAGTAGTATGCCAGAGTTCCAGCAGATATCATCAACTTCATGTAATTGAAGGCAGTGTCTTGTGCACAATCCTATAAAAACACAGAGTCTTTCTTTAGCAGGCTTCTTATGGGTGCAGTGGTATCTGTCAGGTTTGGTGTGAATTTAGCCAGATAGTTGACCGTCCCGAGCACGATCTCGAGTTCTTGTCTGTTTCTTGGTGGCTTCATCTCTTGCATGGCTGCAACTTTCCTGGGATCTGGCTGTACTCCTTCGTTGGATAGCACATTGTTATTATTACATTACATTATCATTACTTTTATTATTATTATTATTATTATTATTATTATTATTATTATTATTATTGTCATTAGATGACCAAAGTAACTCACTTGGCTTGCTCCCAAAACACATTTATCAGTGTGGCCACTTGATCCCGACCTCTCTTGTACGCTCTAGGACTTTCCTTAGGTTCTTGTCGTGCTCTTCCTTAGATGATCCCCAAGCGAGCATGCCATCAATGATGGATTTGAAGCCTTCAATGCCTTCAAATGCCATGTCCATGGCCTTCTAGAACACCTAATGTGCAAAGTGTATGCGGAATGGTATTCTGGTGAAGCGATAACGCCCAAATGGCGTGTTGAAAGTGGTTA